GTCTGCGTGTGCGTGTGTGCATGTGGCGTGTTGTTTGTGAGCGCATAGGTGTGTGGTGCGTGGATGTGGGTGGGACACTTGGGAACACTCCTGTGCTGCCCGTCCATGCATACCCTCCTGCACTGAGCACCTGTCTCTGGAAGATTCCCCAGGTGATGGTCAGAGTCTCGCGCACTGTAACTGAGATGTGGGGCACACGGGGCGCCCGGCCCTCAGCCTCACCCAGTGGCCTCACTCAGGAGCGCCCGGTTCTCATCTGCCCTGGTGGGTGGCAGGCTGGGCCCGGCATTCAGATTGCTGACTGCAAATCTGCCTCCTGAATAGTCTGTCATTGCGTGGATCCTCTTCTGGGAACTCAAAGCTTGTAAGTGATTTATCTTCTAATTAAGTCAAAACAGTAAGTAAATGAGTCTGGTATCAGTGTGGTTTTGATTAATGGCTCACTGCTGATTTGAACTACACTTTGGGCAGCAGGCGGTTGCTCCTCTGGGTTAATAGATTCTAGGGTTGGATCTCCATTCTTAATCCTCGATATGACACTGGAAACATTTGTGTTGAAGCTTCTAAGTCGGGTTGAGGACGAAGACAGTCACGGACTTAGAACAGATGTCGTGATGCGCTGGGGCTGCCGATGGGGAAACAGAAGCTGGCTCTCTCAAACCTCCGAGCAGCACGGCCTCACTGTGTCCTCCTCCCCAAGCTGGGGCACCCCCAGGGAGGCTTGGGCTCTCACCCCACGTGGACAGTGATGTGCGTCTACTTGGCGTGTGCACACCTGCATTCTCCAGGAAACGAAACGTGCGCTGCCTGACGCTGGGGAAGAGCTTACCTCCTCACCCCCTCACGGCGGCTGACGAGCGTGTGCCTCTGATTCAGGACAGAGCAGCTTCCTCCCGAGGCCGGGGGACACGCCAGGGGTGCAGACGGGAGCCTTTGGAAGTGACTGCTCGGCCAGCTGTCCTTTCAGGTTCCAGTGGCATCTCGCTGGCCATCTCCTGGTGCGCGGAAGAAGCAGTGACAGCGACCGTGAGCGGCGGGCCGGCCGCATCACAGCGGAAGCCGCGGCTGTGCCTGCCAAGCCCCCAGAGACCAGCCCCACTGCCCACGCCGGTGTCCCGCGTCTGGGCTGCTATTCCTGCTTCTGGAGTTTGTTCTCAAATCAGGACATTGACACGAGTTTACAAAGCTGCACAAACCTAGCAGGCTGGAATTGCTGTGAGGCTGAGGAACGTGGCCCAGAGCATGAGGGTTGGCGCCGAACGCCCCCTCCACAGCCCTCCCGCCTGTGGAGAAATCCCCGTCTGTGTTCACGCCGGAGTCCGTCTCTCCCGGTGACACCCCGTTCGCGGTCTTCGCCCCAAGTCCCCTCCCGGCTGCCGCGCTCCCAGGGACACCCTCCGTCGGTTCCCGTTGGTGTTTGCCTCCGTGCTTGGCCCCCCGAGGGTGCGGCGGCCGCCTGTCCTGTCCCCGTTGTCCAGGCCTGTGCCACTGGCAGGACCTTGTGAGCCTGCACCTGCCTCCTCGGGGTGGGTGAGGCGACCTCAGGGTGGCCTCCTCACGGCCGGCACGGAGGCGGAGCCTGGACGTCTGCGCGGGCACCCTCACGCCTCCGGCTCTGCCATGTGCGCCTTGCCTGCCGGCGCCGCAGCAGGGTGCTGCGGGGTGTTCCCCGGGCGTCCGGCTCTCACGACGGCCCTGCGGGTGGGATGGCGAGGATGCATGTCCGCACCGCAGCCGTCCTCCCGTAGGTCCTCGGAGCTCCGGCTGCCGGCCGGCCACATAAGCACATGGCCTCTGTGCTTACTCCCGGCGCTGGTAGCGTTCCCATATGCCTGTCACCGCAGCGTTGGACTGTGGTGTTGGAGTGACTACCCTCTGTCAAGGGAAGTGAGCACGAAAATAAAGCAGGAGACGTGAAACAGCTTGGGGTGCCAAGCCCTTTCTAGGCTCCAGGCTCTGCTCCGGGGGCACGAGCTGGTGGGCACGGGGCCGCGTTTAGCCGTCAGGAGAGCCAGGAGAAGGGGGCCCACTGTGTTTATGGCTGTTTGTCTGCAAGTGTCCTCTTTGCTGTTAGGACGGTTGTGAGTGAGAAAGGGGACTCTGCCCTGCCCGGTGCATGTCTGAATTTATTAGGGAAAGAGTTTCTGCAAATGGCTTGGCCCTGCCCTAGGGTCCTGGGTGGTGCGAGCCACGTGTGGTCCTTACGGCAGACACTTGCCCGGCGGAGTGCAGACCGCGCCATCACAAGCTGCCAGGGAGGCCGGCAGAGGGAGGAGGTGGGCTGGCGGGGAGGCTTGGTAGGGAGGCGGGGCCCTCCCAGCTGCTGCTGCTGCAGGACGAGTTGAGCACAGCCACGTGTGGCCACATCCATGCCCTGGGTGGTGCTCACAGTGGTGCTGGGGCATGCGTGCAAGATGCGGTGTGTGCGGCACACGTAGGGGTGGGGGCGTGTGTGTGCGACCTGTGTGCGAGATGCACGTGTTTGCGGCACACGTGCGTGTGGGGGCGTGTGTGTGCGGCCCGTGTGCGAGATGGGCGTGTGTGCGGCACACGTGGGTGTGGGGGCGCACGTGGGGGCGTGAGTGTGTGGCACGTGTGGGTGTCGGGGCGCAGGTGGGGGCGTGTGTTTGAACGCAGGTGACAGGAGTGCTCGCAGCTGACACGTGACCATGAGTCTGTTACAGAGACGCTGCCGGGGGCCGGGCTGTGGGGCTACTTAGCACGATGTCCTTGTGAATCAGCCTCTGCTTGTAAATACTTCTGAGCCGTGGGCATGTAGGGTGCTTAGTGGGGAATTCTTGTTCTCTTGCTAGCTACACGGCTACTTGGAGAACGAGCCACTCACACTACAGCTGTTCATCGGGACGGCCGACGACCGCCTGCTGAGACCCCACGCCTTCTACCAGGTCCACCGGATCACGGGCAAGACCGTCTCCACCACCAGTCACGAAGCCATCCTCTCCAACACCAAAGTCCTGGAAATCCCACTGCTGCCGGAGAACAACATGCGAGCCATGTAAGCTGTGCGCGCCTGGCTGGGGCGGTCGGGGGTGGGTGCTGGGCGATGCGGCCTGCATGCCCACATCTCTGCCCTGGGCTCAGCACCCGTGTAAACCATAGAGCCGCAGGCTGACGGGTTTATGTAGGGCTTCTGCTGCTGTGCACGTGGTACTTGAGTAGTTCGGTCCCCGTGGCCAGTCCCCCCTCATGCCTGCGTTCACCTCCTGAACACAACATCCCTTTATTTCTGAGTTCGGTGGTGGCCACATGCAAACACTGAAAACAGTAGGAGCACGGTCTACACGGATACAGTTCTCCCTGGGTGGTTCTGTCGTCCCTGACGTGAGTGGCTCTGACGTGCGTCCGGACTGCCTTCATGGCTCCATGGAAGCTGTGTCTCTAAGCTGATGATTGACCTCCTCGTGTGCAAAGAGGCCCATATTCACAGCCTCCCCGCGGCCTCCTCCCCTCCTTCCTCCACGGTTGTGCGCCCCACACTCCACTCCCAGGGTGTGAAGAGCGGGGCCCGTGGCCAGGCTGGGGGCGGAGCAGGGTGCCCTGTGTCGTGCGTCAGGAACTGAAAGACAGGTGTGGACTCCTGTTCCTTGTTCCGGGTAGTGTGGACTGTGCCGGGATTCTGAAGCTTCGAAACTCGGACATCGAGCTGCGGAAAGGGGAGACGGACGTCGGGAGGAAGAACACCAGGGTGAGGCTGGTCTTCCGGGTCCACATCCCACAGCCCAACGGCCGGACGCTGTCTCTGCAAGTGGCCTCCAACCCCATCGAGTGCTGTGAGTATCAGAGCCAGCCCCGTGTCCCATGCTCTGTTTTGTGGCACCTTTCCTGTTTTGTTCGTGGAGACTCGTGGACTGGACTCACGTGGGCATCGCTCTTGTCCCTTGCCTGTCGCGACGACTCCTAAGGAGCTTGCTGTGCTGGGTTCAGGTTCACGGGCTGCGCATGCGGTGGGCCCACCTGCTCCAGCAACCGTGGGGAAAGAGGACAGTTTGTCCGAAACCCGGAGATGCTTGCACTCGCCACATGTGAGCTAATCCCTCGTGTATCAGAAACCCGAGCAGCGGGATTTTGGCGTCTTGTCCGTGGGGTCCAGCGAATCTAAGTTCGTCGGCCCGTGTAGGACTCTCGCCTTCCCTGCCAGCTCCTGGTTTTGCCTTCCCTTGTGGTGTGCGTGATTCAGGTGCGTCCAGCCTTGGGCCTGAGCGCTCTACTCCTGTGGGGGCTCAGCCGCAGCGGGGGCTCAGTGTCCTCTGACAGTGACCTTGCTGATTTTTGTCAGCACGTGAGGTCATTGGTGGAGACCCCACAAGCTGGCGGGACACCCGGGGCCTCTACGTGTTCTTGTAGGAGGTGCAGCTAGCCCCACCCACCCCCTGGCCACTGTCAGAATGTCTCCTGCCCGGCGGCCCCTCTTCCTTCTCTCTCGGGGTGTGGCTGTCATAGGACACTCACCTGCCCCTGCGGCTCACCTGCCCACCTGTCTCAGTGGGAGGGTCTGGGTTTGGTTCCCTCACTTCTGACCTGACTGACCCACCTCAGTGTCCAGATTCCTTCCCTGCAATGTGTCCTGTGGCCCCCCACGTGGAGCCCCGCAGGCACCTGTCCCCACAACCCGGCACGGCCCAGGGGTCCGGCCACAGGCCACTGCACGTGCCTGAAGCGTGTCCTCCCTGCAGACCCGCTGGCTGGCCGAGAGCCGCGGGTGTGCACCTGGCCCGAGAAACTCTGTGCCACCACTGCTCCTGCCCGGGAACTTTGTTTGGTGGCCTCACTGCATCCTGTCCTCCCCAGATGACCCCACCTCCCTGCACTCTGCGCCTTGTCCCAGCCCCTCGGGTCCTGCGGCTCCTGGCCCTGACAGGACCGAGAGCCCCGAGACCCCACCCCCGGTTCACATGGGGCCCGCGCCCCCGCCGTGGCCCCCAGCTTCGAGCCCGCGCTCCCTTCACCGTCCACATGGGTGCTCTCCTCCTGGAGAGGTGTGTCGGTGTGTCCGTTCTGCGCGGAGCACCTGCGTCAGCGGCAGAGGCCACGGGTCCCCCTGGGGTGGCATATGCGCTCCACGGAGGCTCATACACAGACCCACACTGTGCACACATCCCTGCGTCTTGATTTTCCCGCGGGCACAAATCAGATGTGCGCTTGCCCTGCTAGTCTCTGCGTGATGACGCGGACCCGCCGTGCAGCTGGTGCATCTCGCACTGGAGGCTGCCCGTGTAGGCGCCATGCCCCCCACCAGACCCCGAGGCGGCGCCTGGAAGTGCCCGTTCCTGACAGACTGGCCGACCCCGGGCGCTCTCTCGGGATGGCGGCGTGAGGTGGGGCCGGGGGCGCGTGCTCACTATCCTGTTCTGACCCCGCGCAGCCCAGCGGTCGGCCCAGGAGCTGCCCCTCGTGGAGAAGCAGAGCGCAGCCAGCTGCCCCGTCCTCGGCGGGAAGAAGATGGTCCTGTCTGGCCACAACTTTCTGCAAGACTCCAAGGTCATTTTCGTGGAGAAAGCACCAGGTACTTTCCTTACAAACAGACCGTGGAGTGTGTCCTGCTTTGGGCGCTGGTGGGGATTGGTTCCTGGAGGCGGAGCGAGGCCGCTCGGTGGGGCTCTGTGCGTGCTGGGGAGCGGGAGCAGCTCACGTAGCTCTGGCCTGTCGGAGGCCTGCCTCCACTCGCTGCCTGTGGCCCCTTGACCAGACTGGACGGACGTCTGCTTCTTGGCTCTGAGCAGCCCCTGCTCCCGGCCACCGCGGGCCGTCTCGGGAAGCACCGTTCTGCTCTGTGTAGGAGGGCTTCTCGCCACTCCGAGCCACAGCCTTCTTGGCAGCGGGCATGTGGACGCAGAGTGGCCATGGTAGACGGTGGGACCTGCGCTTGGACCGGGGGCCCCTCCACACCCCTTGGCATCCTTCTGGCCCCTGTTCTTGGTGCTGCCCTGGGATGCAGAGGCGGGTGCTGCTCTTCTCCGTGTGACCGGTGGCCTCCAGGGCTCCCGGCCGTTGTGTGTGTGTGTGTCGACTACTCTGCTTGTGTACACGTGTTGGCAGGTGTAGACCTGTGTGCATGCAGTGGTGGAGCAGGGTTGCTATACGTCCAAGGTGAACAGTCTCTTCTCTCTGACATTTGGTGATAAGGCCCTGGGTGAGCTTCTGCCCCGGGACACCCAACCCGTCCGGGGAGAGGCCACTGGACACTCGCGCGAATAACACACAAGGGCAGGCTCGCCTCTCTCTGAAGCTCTCTGCAGCTTTGATTCGGGAGCCAGGTCCCTGCCGAGCATGCCCCGTGGGCACGAGGCCCTGCCGCCGATGGGGTGGCTCCTCCCTGTTTCTGAGGGGACCGGTGCAGGACCCACGCTGACCACTGGAAACCACGGCGGGGTTCAGCCTCCACAATGGGGTCCTGATTTTGTGCCGAGAGCAGGAAGCTTAAGTGCCTCCATCAAAATGGGCTTGAAAGTCCTCCGTGTTCAGCGTGGTCTGCCTGTGTAATCATGCACGTAATTGGGAAACGTGAATTATGGAGAAAACCGACTAAGCATAACGATCAGGAGAATTTGCGTTACTGGAACATTGTTCTTTAGAGGAAGCTAATTTTGAAATGATTTAACCTTTTGAGCTTTAAATGTGTGAATAAGTGTGTGAGGGGGAGGGTCACCAGACATGGCGCTCTGTTCGCCGCACAGCGAGGAGACGTGCTGGGAAGTGGCCCAAGTTGCCGCTTTTCTGGCTGCTACACGAAGGAGAAGTCCACGCGGCTTCCTTCTCTGCCTTCCCTGACCAGTCCTCATTGTGGTGCCAGGATGAGACCATGGGGGTCTCCTGGATGCTCCCCGCTTTGTGGGCACCGTGGGGCTCCTTCTGCAGGGCAGGCTCTCCCGGCCCGGCCATCCTGCTCAGTCCTAGATCTCTGCTCCGTGGCCTGCTGGTGCCACGTGGAGGTTGGCCACGAGCCCACAGTGTGGGGACCTTAGTCCACGGATGTGTGGCTGGCGCCATCCTCCCCCAGGGGCCCTCCAGCCACCCCTCCTGCGTGGCCTGGTGCCCCGGGCACAGCCGGCAAGACGCAGGCGTGGGTGGCAATGTGGTTGCAGGCTGTGCCCGGCCCAGGTGGGTATAAACGCCGTGGTTACACGTCTGGACGCTGTCGCTAGTTTGGGTGTGTATTTAAATAAGGTGGTTTGTGTGTTTACACACGCGCACACGAGTTTTAACTCCTGGCAGACGGGGCACTCATGCTTCTCCTAACGTATCCTGATGCGCTCTGTAACCGTAACTAGGCTTTTCCTAGTTGACTTTTTGGAGAAACCATTAAAGTCAATTTAGGTTACAGTCGTCCCGTAGGCTTTTGGTGAGGTCTTTGGTCTGTGGCAAAGTTCAGTCTTTAAACTGCTTTTGGCGCCAAGGCCAGAATGTGATCAGGGAGACCCTCGTTGTGGGAGTCCTGAGCATGAGTCCCGCCAGGAAGGCCTGTGTGGTTCCCGTTCTTCCAGCTGCTCTGGGTGTCTCGGGGGCGCCCACCGCCCTGTGTCTGGGCCTCTTTGCAGTCGCTCTGGGCTTACGCACTAGTGACCCAGAGCTTTGTGAGGGTTTCAAGGAGCGGTTCTTTCTGCCTGGGGGCTGGCCACGCCTGCTCTATCTCCCAGGAGAAGGAGAGGCGCCTGGCGCCTGTGCAGAGAACAGCGTTCAGAGTCTTCGTAGGCGGCGGGATCAGCCCCGCTGGTGGGTGTTGGCGGGTCCCCGGGGGCCAGCCCAGGCAAGAGGAGGGGCTGGGAGGACCTCGTGAGACGTGAGGTGTGTGACAGCAGGTGTGTGAGAGCAGGTGTGTGAGCAGGTGTGTGAGCAGGTGTGTGAGCAGTGTGTGTGAGCAGGTGTGTGACAGCAGGTGTGTGTGAGCAGGTGTATGTGAGGTGTGTGAGAGCAGGTGTGTGTGAGCAGGTGTGTGTCACGACATGTGAGCAGGTGTGTGAGAGCAGGTGTGTCAGGGTGTGTGAGCAGGTGTGTGTGAGCAGGTTGTGACAGCAGGTGTGTGAGGTGTGTGTGAGGTGTGAGAGCAGGTGTGTGTGAGCAGGTGTGGGGTGTGTGAGAAGGTGTGTGAGAGCAGGTGTGTGTGAGCAGGTGTGAGAGCAGGTGTGAGCAGGTGTGTGACAGCAGGTGTGTGAGCAGGTGCGTGTGAGCAGGTGTGTGACAGCAGGTGCGTGTGAGCAGGTGTGTGAGAGCAGGTGTGTGAGAGGTGTATGAGGTGTGTGACAGGCTGTGAGAGCAGGTGTGTGTGAGCAGGTGTGTGAGAGCAGGTGTGTGAGAGCAGATGTGTGTGAGCAGGTGTGTGAGAGCAGGTGTGTGTGAGGTGTGTGAGCAGGTGTGTGAGAGCAGGTGTGTGACAGGCTGTGAGAGCAGGTGTGTGTGAGCAGGTGTGTGACAGGTGTGTGAGAGCAGGTGTGTGAGGTGTGTGAGAGCAGGTGTGTGAGAGCAGGCGTGTGTGAGGTGTGTGAGCAGGTGTGTGTGAGCAGGTGTGTGAGCAGGTGTGTGAGAGGTGTGTGACAGGCTGTGAGAGCAGGTGTGTGTGAG